ATCTTCATAAGATGATGAAGAATAGATAGTAGTAGTAGTATTACCTTGCATCATTAGCTTACGTCGGGGATCTACTCCCTTAATACTCTTTGGTAAGAGTATCATCTCTGCCAATTTACCACACTTATGAGGGTATGCCAAACATGTAGACAGTAGTTCCAATAGGAATGGTTTCCTGATACCCATCCTGGTGACAGAGTTAAGAAGGAGCAATCAAACAACAACAACGACGATTATCAACAATAGTACCGCCGCCTTTCCGAATATAACGATATATTCGATAGTTTATCAGCAACATAATTATATAATAAACAAATGATAAAGACTTTAAGAACCATAAGATGATGCATTGATGATAATAAGGTAGTTCATCATACTATGGCATATTCAGCGGGTACACTCCAAAGGCTATGTCATGAACCTTTGCCACTTACTGTAATTGGTTCTTCTCCACTTCACTTTGAGTATGTAATTTCCAAACCAGGAAATCAACACGGGGATAATAAAAAGATAGAAAGCTTGGCCGCCCGTCTGACTGACAATACATACACGACATCATCAGATACAGATACTTTCCCCCCCGCCCCCGCCGCGGCGGCGCCACTAAATTATTATTACGTTCATCAAATAAGGCATGCTCAGCTCCCATATACCTTTCATATTGCGGTCGGGATTGAGTAGCTGTGGAATAAGGGCAATGCAAAAAGCGCGCGCCCAGAACATCCAACATCCAGTTTACATTCTCGTCATGTACATGAAAACTGAGACCACTTCTACTATCAAGTCCATGTGGGAATGGGGGACCAAGAGAACCTAGAGGAAGATTATAGGTTATTTGGGAGGGGGGGCGCATACCATCCCTGTGTAGAGCAGCATGGATACTTTGAACGTGTGGTACTGGCAATAAACCTGTACATGAAGCCTACTCCTAATCTACTACTATCATCATACTTGGATCAAATGTACTCTTCATGTTATACCCTATCACATCAGTTGTATTAATGAGATAGGATATAACTACAACAACCGATAATGTTGTTATTAATGTAAATGGTGATGATCCTGAAAAATGCTGTAAATAATAATATGGAAACTCGAATATCGGACTTTTCCCCTTTCCTCCAAGAACCCCATAAATAACCATCATCACCACAGGAATCGTAGCTATGGTAGACCACATCGTTACAGGTCTGAGGGAGGGAGCCACCGCGCTCGCCATGATGATCGATTCACCTCGACTTTTATTACACTGATTCTCTTGATATTAGCTGACCTCCTAAGGAGCCGTATTTGATTGCTACCAGAAGGGATGGTAGAGGTAAGGCGATAAAGTAAAGGATGGATGGTCCAATCTGGAAAGGTTGTTAACCGCACTTTTGATAATGTTATTAATTGCGAGAAGTTACTCTCGAAACTCGAGTAGTACAAGTATCTTCAATGATGACCGAGGTAATAATTATCGGATAAATTTATATAATCCCTCCCCCCCTTCCCTCCCCCGGTAACGCGTTTCAGTACGTCATACATATTACCGCTCTCATCATCGTTCTCTCCACTTTCTCCTCTGTGAGAGGTTCAATAAGACGACGACCTCTACAACCTGATATGCAGACAAATCTCGCTCGCCCTAACGATCGATTGCCATGGTATCGTGTACCCCAACGTTCGAATATCTCGGTCCCTACGATAGCAGCAATAAGTTCTTCATTCATTAGTCCGATGCCGAGTCCAAGTAGTATGAATATAGACCAGTTTAAATTCCCTGAGGATAGATACCCTGACCAGGATTCGAACCAGGAACCCTTCGAATTACTACCCACAATGGCCGACCATACCGCCAAACCCATCATCGACGCGTTTGCAAAGAACTCCAAATAGCCGCCCGTTGGGGCTACCACAAGGAGCAGTGGAGCAATAATGTCAACAGCAATTGTCCATCCTCCAATAATGCTATGCATAAGCTGTAATGTGAAGAATATACTGCTTAACCGTCGGTTAACTTACTTTAGGTAACTTATCGATATGCCAAATTAATGGTAAAGGGAATGGAGCATCAAGTATACTTGACCAGGCCATATCAGCTAGGCTAATCCACGCTAAATCTGATGATAGATATATAAAGTTATTATTATCAACAACAACCTGCTGCACCACCTACTTACCATTTTTAATAATGGTATACATACCAGCAGCGAGGAAAACCCTGGACAGTAGGAACTTCAAATACACTGTATCTAACTCCCAAATCGATCAGCTGGGCGTGCGCTGAATGCAATCTCACTTCCAGTGTACTGGGCGATGAAGACCATAAAAGAGGCTTCGACCAGCAACTTGTCAGGGGCGGTCCAAATCACTTGACGACCGATCTCGTAAATCGGGTGCTCCTCAAACGTGTAAGATATAATCAGTAACGACCTGAATATAAACTTATAAAAAACGTCGTCACTGCACCGCCATCACGGAATTACATGTGAATAGCTGCCAATATGATCCCATTGATCGCTACAATATTACTATTCGATGAGAATATGGCACAGTATATACTCGATACAAGTCCATATAACTACCATACCAACATTATCTAAATATATCTAATATCCCTTCTCCTGTTACTACCAGAGCTATAGAAATGACCATACTCATAAGTAGATTCGTCGGTATAAACCCACATGGACCAAAGATAACCTCTGAATCCTCCAATACACTGGCAAAGGCAAATATCTGCCCGATAACTGAAAATCAATAATATCTATTGCTTCGCTCCGCTCAACAATCATCCTACACATCGATTTGATGCATAGAAAAGCCGATAGAGATATCGTACTATCGTGCTCCTTGATCATAAGGATAAAAACTTGAGGGAATAGAATGATAGAATCATCAATTAGTGAAACTCAACTATACTACCATAACGACTGCAACTTTTCCCAAAATGTGGACATGGTCGTGGTGGTGGTGGTGCCCGCGATCTCCGATATGGTCCGCGACCTTTGATGGCCCAGTCACAGTAGCAGTAGTAGCCTTCTACTACATAATAGATGGTACCCTATAGGATGGTACTACCGACCGCCGAAGGGTAGTAGCAGTAGCCTTCTACTACATAATAGATGCTACCCTATAGGATGGTACTACCGACCGTCGAAGGGTAGTAGCAGTAGCCTTCTACTACATAATAGATGGTACCCTATAGGATGGTACTACCGACCGTCGAAGGGTAGTAGCAGTAGCCTTCTACTACATAATAGATGGTACCCTATAGGATGGTACTACCGACCGCCGAAGGGTAGTAGTAGTAGTAGCCTTCTACTACATAATAGATGGTACCCTATAGGATGGTACTACCGACCGCCGAAGGGTAGTAGTAGTAGTAGTAGCCTTCTACTACATAATAGATGGTACCCTATAGGATGGTACTACCGACCGCCGAAGGGTAGTAGTAGTAGTAGCCTTCTACTACATAATAGATGGTACCCTATAGGATGGTACTACCGACCGCCGAAGGGTAGTAGTAGTAGTAGCCTTCTACTACATAATAGATGGTACCCTATAGGATGGTACTACCGACCGCCGAAGGGTAGTAGTAGTAGTAGCCTTCTACTACATAATAGATGGTACCCTATAGGATGGTACTACCGACCGCCGAAGGGTAGTAGTAGTAGCCTTCTACTAGTAGCTATTGAGTGGGAATATCCTCTTATTAGTAGTAGCATCATAGATACGAGTAATAACTTATTATTACCAAAGACTACTACCTATATAAGTATAATAATCAAGTAACAAGTGGTAGTACCATTGTTGTCTATTATCCTATCTGATATAGGAATACACTAGGATGATATAATGATGATGATCACCTGCAAGACATCCAGTGAAAGGATGAATCTCACTAAGGTGGTCATTGATAACTGGGCATGCCTCCACCATACCATTCCAATGCTACTACTATGCTGACCATTAATGCCCAATATGGAGCCACTCGAGTCGAGACATACCTACATATATAA